CCCAGCAGTAGGCTCAGGAGAAGGGGACCGGATTTGAACTGCGGTCAAGGTTAACACCCCAGACTGCTGATCAGACTTGCTCAGCCTAGGGCCATGACCTGTGTTCCTGAGATTGGCCCACTAGCCAGGACTCCTGTCTCCTGTCATTGGTCCATGGGGCCCAGTTCCAGCTACTTTCTTACTGGAGGGATGAGGGATGCAGGTGGGCAGTGTCTGCGTTTATAATGTCGGAGTACTTGGAGGAGCTGGCTGGAAATATCTTTTCAGCTTAACCTCTGAGGTGAGGCGGCTGAGAGAATTGGCTTTTCCTTTGAGCCAATGATCAGTTTCCACTCTGATATGGGCCAGTTAGATTCTCCTCCTTGATATTCATGCCCAGGAGGCTTTGGGCCGTAATGATAGAGGATGTGCTTCCTGGATGGTAACCCTATAGACTGATCAAGATTGTGCTAACATTCATTTTCCCATCGCGACCGATTTGGGAGGAAGCATCTAGAAAATGCATTCTGGGGAAGGTGACTGAGAATTTAAGTCTTCTGTGGTACACATCTATGTATATATCATAAGACGGAACGAAATGTATACACTTGGAGGTGACAGCGATCCGTCTTCCACCCTGACACAGCAATACAAAAATCCATAATTCACTTAAGTTTCACTTTGCAATCCCAGTATAGCTCAACTGATTTTCATCCTGGAATACATAAATAGTGTTTAAGCTAATTTTTTGGGGAAAAAAGAGCACCCCTACTAACAACAAACCCCAAAGAGTAAGACTTAACAGTTACTGCCCCCTTCACTGGACTGCTTTTGTAGGATTTCTTGGCAGAGCTAAACTCTAGCTTGCCACTCGTAATCCGGGGACCTGGTCGGCTTCAGTAATGACTGATACTTACATTTAATTTGTACATGTGTTGGGCCTGGGTCTGTATTGGTATTTGAGCCACAGACCCTTGACCCCTATATTGTCTTTGTCTCGTTAAACCTTCTAAATGTATGTGTGTTTGCTTCATTGGAACACCCCCATGAATGTGTTTTTTGCCTTTCTAGGTGTATTTGTCAGAGCTTGCATGAGAAGATCACAATCTTAGTGACTCATCAGTTGCAGTACCTAAAAGCTGCAAGTCAGATTCTGATATTGAAAGATGTAAGTCATGTCTCTGAATCCCTGCACCTTGCTAGTCCTCAGGTGTGTTGAAGGGGAGGCCTCCAGCAGGGTAGGATCCTGGGATCTGTGGTCACCTCTAGCTTCTTCTTGATGTGGCTGGCCCTCTCTTCTTTGAGCTGGTCTCCACGCCTTTGAGGATGAATTCCAAGACATTAGAAATATCGGCTCGAACTTTGAAGCCTGCAGGGTGCATCCAGTCTCTGCCGCCAAGTGCCCAAACGAGACCTGTTCTAGTGATTGAAACTGTTGAGGGCGATCATAGAACACCGTGGTTTTCCTCTAAAAAATAAAGAGGGAGTCACAGAGTGTTAGGAGGAACCAGAGAGGCTGAGGCAGGCTTCGCGTCTGACCAAGGTGGCAGCAACCTCGCAGCCCATCCCCTGCACAGGTCTTTGCTTGTCCCCCTGTGGTGTGGGGGGCTGTGCAGCCATGGGGAGTTGCGTCTCCACAGTCAGGGGGCTTGTGTTTCAGATGTGGGATATGTGTTGAAGGGGCGAGGACACTCTCAGAGGCCTTCTAGAAGCGGGTGTCTTCCCTGTGCCAGGAAGCTGCTGTCACCTGCAGGGAGGGCGGCTGAGCCAGGACCACCCAGCAGGGGAGGAGCTGTCGGAGCTGGCCAGGAAGGTCAGGGCAGCTGAGGGCAAGTGAGCCTGGGGAGCATGGCAGGAAATGTGCTGGGGGTTCAGGGGGGCTGCAGGCCCGCCATGGGCTGGAGGCCAGTGTCAGTCCAGAGCAGAGGGCTGATGTCCTTGATGTTCGCTGGAGGGGAAGCAGCAGAAACAATTAGAGCCCTGGGCATTTCTGAAGACAGGAATGTGAGCGCAGGCACGTGGGTTAGGTTCTATAGCTGCATAACAACTTGGGAAAGCAGACAGGGGTCATCTCACCATTCTGGAGGCGGCGAGCCTGGAGTCTGAGTCCTGGGCTGTGCCCTGGCTAAAGGTTCTTGGGGCGAGTCCTTCCTGGCTGCCGCTAAGTGTGGGCTGGTGGCCATGGCCCTCGGCTGTACTTGAGCCTCAGCTGCCCTTGACCCTTGGGCGCCCTTGGCCATCCTCTGTTCTAATGCAGCCGAGCTCTGTAGTGTCTACCTCAGTTGTCACCTGTGCTGTGTGGGTCCCAGAAGTCACATTGGAGTTGGAGTCCCCTCTATGGGCTGACCGCATCTGAACTCAACAGTGTCTGCAAACAACGTGCTTCACATAGACACGCATTCAGTGGTCCCAGGACTGAAGTTTATGCGGGGCTAGAAGAGTCACCCTTCAACGCGCAGGGCTGTAGGCTGGCCGGGGCATGGGGGACAGTGAGACACCGGCAGGCTCAGCAGCTGTTCATGCTGTTGGCTTGTTCTTCTGTGCTCGGCACCTGCGTCCTTCCCTCTCGTGTGCACCACCCAGAGGACCCAGGTCACATCCCTCGTTGTGGATCAGAATGCTTGTTAGTGCCTTCAGGCATTTTACTATTCCGCCTTCCCCATCCTCTTGATAAAGTGGTCTCTGCAAGGACTGTTGCCTACTGTTCCAAGACCTTGTGGGTACCTCTTCCAGGGAGAGGCATTTCACATTGAGACGAATGTTAACACACAGTTGACCAGTAGATAGAGCAGGGCATTGCGTCCTGACGTTGGCTATAACTTGAACCATCCTATCTGCTGTTGACTGACAGGCGACCTTTTCGATAAATGAATTGATTGGCACATATTTTATAAGAATACACATACTGTATTCTTACAATAAAGTAACTATAGAGAATAGAAAACGTTCTTAAGTGTGTTATCATGACAAGATATTTACTGGATTGAACTATATTTATTGGAAAATTGTCCATGTGTTGAGAGGAACCTGGAAGTTCAAATCTGTCTTGCTCAAAGGTCAGCTGTAGCATGCTGGCAAAATTCTTTTGTTGAGCACCCCCTTGCTGCTGAGGGTGGTTACTACAGGGCAGAGAGGCCTGTGTTAAATCCAACACATTTCCCCCTCAGGATGGTGAAAGGCAAAACCTCTACCTCCTGAGAAGCACTTTCAGTCATTGATTCGCTTCCCAAAGAACCAGAAGCTCAACTTGCTCACAATTAAACAATTTCATGGGCAGAGGGGTGGAACTAATGTGATAAAACCTCCAAAGGTGTCAGAATTAAGAGTACAGAATCAAGAGACAAGACAGTAGTAATCAGTCTACCAACCCTAGATGTTCTGGGGACCCCCTGAGTGCTCCTTTTAATATTAGCAAAACAACCAGCCATCCACTGATGGCACCCCTCGATGAGTTGGGGTCCAGCATTATTCTTTATCTGGTCCTATCTAACAACAGAGAGGGGTGGCAGAAATCTAGCTGGGAAAGAAATTACTGCTTCTACACCAGGGCTGTTTCCCTGGGCATTATGCAGATACTCAGTGGAAAGAGGTAATTTCATTGAGTAACGTGTATGCAATTTTACCGCCCATGTGGAACGAGATGTGCTATATCCTGAATGATTTTCCAACATTGCAGGTTCCCACTGTTCTGCAGAACCCAGAAGCATCATTGGATTTTTCTCAGATCACCTTGGGGGGTGGGGAGGTAGGAAGAAAGGGGTGTTCCAGGTGTGGTCCTGACCCTTCTGCCTCCACTTGCTGGGTTTGTTTTGCATGCTGGGATTTTTGTCTCATACTTCAGTTAGATAATTGATCATGGCTTCATGGGCAGAGAACACCGTGAAAGCATGTGCCGGTCTTTGATATGGCCTTGTGCGTAGGGGACTTTGTGTGATGAGTTGTCACCCGTGCTCAGTGCTCTTGATGGGCTGGGGCAAAAGTGGCAGCCTTGTTTCAGAAAGCCTGGCTGGCTGCTTGCGACTGGTGGCAAAGTTTGGTTTTCTTGGCTTCACGTGCATGGACTCTAGGGTTTCGCTTTGACTGCATACATGGCCTTGTCAGCTCAGTGGCCTCCTGGGTGGATTGTTGTAACACCTGGTATGTTGCCTTCTCAGTGGGGGCATGCTGAGGGTGGGAGGCAACTTTTCAGTCAGTTCCATGAAGGTGCTGTTCAGTGGCTCAGGGTCGGGGGGCTAATTTCCCACAGCTCTTACCCCAAGGGGGCATTTGATCCTCCCACAATGGTGCGGAAAGATTTGAGTGACTTTTACCTGTGTGACCTGTTGTGTTCACCTGTGTATCAGTCCACATTTGCTCCCTAGTTCAGGCTGATCTTTGCAGTTCTGCTCTCTATACCAAGCTTTTATCAATTTGTACATTTTCTAACAGCTGGTACTAATACTCTCTCCAACATCTACATTTTTCTTAAATGCACTTGGTTAGTTATCTCAGTGACCTCCATGTTTAAAGAAGGTTACACTGTCTTCTAAATCCCCAGCCCTGGGTTGGCAGAGAACGAATGCTTGGTTCTGCATTGCATTGAACTGGGCTGGGTTTGTCCATCAGACTTCTAGACCTAAGAATAATTCCCCCCCCCCAAAGATCCTAATGTAAGCCCACTTAACTTTCTCTGATTCGTGCTAAATTAGATTAGTATTATCAAATGAAAATGTACACCTCTCAAATTCTTTGTTTTAGGGCAAAATGGTGGAAAAGGGGACTTACACTGAGTTTCAGAAATCGGGGGTAGATTTTGGTTCCCTTTTAAAGAAGGAAAATGAGGAGGCTGAACCATCTCCAGTTCCAGGAACTCCCACGCTGAGGAATCGGACCTTCTCCGAGTCTTCCGTGTGGTCTCAGCAGTCTTCCAGGCCCTCGCTCAAGGATGGTGCTGCCGAGGGCCAGGAGGTGAGTCCTCACCCGCCCCCCGCCCCCTGGTTCCACGTCCTGTTAGGGCTCGTGATCTCCCCACTCTGTTCACGACCCTCTGATTATCCCAGAGACTTCAAGGTCTTATTCCACAGAATTGGTAGCGTTGAAACAGAAAGAAGGGAGCAAGCATGGGGTAGCATTCTCCCTGGGTGCCCGATGGAGCCTCGCAGACACATGCATTGGATATGACAGCAATGTGGAGATCCTAGGTGTATGTGACTCACCGATTTTAACACTCTTGAATTTGCTGGAGATAAATCCTGCATGCTCTGGTGACCCTTTTGTGTCCAGCATCTTAATTTTGAAGCCTGCATCCTGACACGGCCCATTTTGGGTCAGCTACTTGTGTGTGGGGGAAGGTTCCGGCATTGCCGGTGGTTGACCTTATTTTTCTGCCTTGGTAGATGGCTTGTGTTCAGCCAGTCAAGTGTACAAAGGAGGGGGTAAAGATGCATTTATTTAAAGAAACAATGTATGAAGGATGCTTCTTTTTTCTTTCTATTTTTTTATTTATGCATGCAAGAACTGGGGTACAGGCCAGAGGTGCAGGGGTGAGAGGCTTCACCAGAGACAGAGTAGGGAGCAGAACAGGCAGATCGAAGTACACTGGCTGAGGGGAGCAGCATGCAAGGCAGAGGTCTGCCGCGCCATGTGGCCACCTCCGGGGCAGGCGGGAATCGAACTCATGCAGAAGCGGCTTTAGATTCTCAGTGCTGTGCTTTAACCCGCTGCGCCAACAGGGAGGGCCTCGATGGTCTTTCTTAACTTTCAAGACTGAGAGCATGTCCTGCCGTCTTTGAACCCTCAGAGATCAGCACAGAGCCTGGGAGTCCCTGTGAGGCTGTAGTGCACTCTGTGTCCTTTAGGAGAAATGCATTCAGATTCCCTTCAGAACACCCTCACTAATCAAACCAGGAGCCCAGCTGATTCGGAGTGGTACTCAGATTGTTCTCTTCAAACTCAAGTTCCTCTCTGAAACACAGAAGCCAGATAGATTTGGTGTAGATTATCCTTCCTCTCCAAAATCTCACCACTTCAGATTTGCTGTCAGAACTCAGGGTGGTGATTTTACTAACATTTTTAGCTCTTGCGGTATTCCCCTCCTATCTTTTTTTTTTTTTTATTACAAAGTTTATTTTTACATCATTTTGCACATTTTTTTTCCCATCTCGATTGTAATCCCCGCGGGTTTCCCATCACCAGATCACCCCTGTGCCACCACCCTAGTCCCGTGCATTTCTCTCCCCCCCCCCCCCCGTTTTTGATCCCCTCCTATCTTAATTTGGAATAAGTTTCTGCATCTAGACTGGAATCAGGGATGGAGATGAGTATGTACTATTGCTATTTCCCCCACTAAGAATAACCTTGTGTGAAGGATGTTTCAGGGTTTTTTTTGTTTTTATGTATATAAGAGCTGGGGTGCAGGCCAGAGGTGCAGGGGATGAGAGGAGTCCCCAGAGACAGAGTGGGGAGCAGAACATGCAGATGGACTGAAATACACTGCTGAGGGGCGCAGCGGGGAGAGGTCTGTTATGCCATGTGGATCAGCACCTGGGTGGGGATTGAACACAGACTGTAGTGGCTGGCAACAGCTCCATATACCTGAGGCTTAACTTCTTGCACCGTCAAAGAGACCCATTTCCATATTTGTCATAGATTGCCAGGCATGGGGTGTTGGGTCCCTGTGCACGCACGTAGGGTTTGAGTAGACATGGCCATGCGCCCTCCCTAAGGGAGACACCCTTAGACACCCTTTTGCACACCTCGTGACAGATGTGGGCACTGTCCAGCTTTTGTGTGCAGAGCGTTAACTAGAATTTTTCAAATTTGGGGGTGTACATGTCATTCAAATCTTAATTTTTCCCTTCACAGCCAGAGAATATACAGGCCACGCTACCAGAGGAGACTCGGTCTGAAGGAAAAGTCGGCTTCAAGGCCTACAAGAATTACTTAGCAGCGGGCGCTCACTGGCTTGTCGTTGTTTTCCTTCTCCTAGTAAACATCGCAGCCCAGGTAAACAAGGGCGAGCTTTTTCTGTGCCTTCAGCTTAATAGACTCAGGAGGACTTTCTGTACTTAGATCTGAGACTGACTGCATTTTGTCACCCAGTGGAGTCGGCCTTGAAATATGCTGACTTTGAGCAACAAAATAAGGGGTGTTTGCTGGTTTGTATGTTCATTGCAAAGAGCTTCTCAAAACACCAGGAACCTGCAGGTGTTATGTGACCTCAGACGTTTCCAACCTGAGCTGAAAGTACCCACCGTGTCTCCTCAGCGCCTCTCCCTGAGCTGCTTTCGGGGTTCATTCTTGGGGGGTGGTACGAAAGGGAAGTTTTGACAGTCTGATTGCTATTTCCGTCCACCAGGTTGCCTACGTCCTACAAGACTGGTGGCTGTCTTACTGGTGAGTTGTTTCGCCTGAGGCTAAGCGCTGTGAAATCCCTGTGACTTTTCACTTGCTCAGACTCTGCTGGGCTCATGTTTTGCTCAATCTCTGCTGTTGTCCTCACTTCCTTTCCCTGGGGAATTTAAAGTTCTTGCTGGTGGAGTGTGACCTGAGGTGGGCTCAACCCACATCTGAGCCTCACCAGTCCTCAGACCATTCTGGGGCCTGCAAGACACAGTTGAAGTAGAATTTTTGTAAGGTGGACGTACGCAGGGGCATGTGACCCAGGAGTCATATGCCAGTGTCAAATGTGTCTCCCAGTCAAGGTGAATTTTTTTTCCTGTCTAAATTCCATCAGTGGTGTGATGTTTTTTCTTCTGTCTTCCGTAGGGCAAATAAACAAAGTGCCCTCAACGTCACTGTAAATGGAAAAGCAAATGTCACCGAGATGCTCCATCTGAACTGGTACTTAGGAATTTATTCAGGTAAAGTTGAATCATCTGGTCCTTTATTCGAGAGTCAGAGGTGCTTACAATGAGCCTGTGTGAGGAACTAGGTCTTCAGGGAGTAATTCAGTAATGTCTTAACAGACTAAGAGAACGAATCACATTTATTCTGTGAATTAATTAGAAGAATTATTTTAAAAATCGACGAGAAGAAAGAGGTTGAATGAAGACTCTTCATTTGCACCGTACTGGATTTTTGAAGTTAAACCAGGATTGAGCATTCAGAAAACCAGGCCCTGGAAATATGTGGCTATTGTCTATTCTAATAGGTTGCTTTCGCTAAATCTTATATCATTATATGGATGGGCAAGGGGATTAGAAACGGATCCCCAACCTGCAGTTCAGATTGTTCCAATTCTGTCTGAATAAACCCCAGCTTTTATTGAACTTAGATGAAATCCTCTGGCAGCAAGGCCCCCCAAATAAAAGCATTATTCCCCTTGCAGGTATGCAAAGCTCCCTTCACCATACTGCTCATCTCTTGGGCTTCACTAATTACCTCAGAGAGAAGCTAAGCAGGGAAAAATCCAGTGTCTGGGAATTAGGATTCCTTCTCTTTCTTACCTGGAGATGACAATGTTATCGCGTTCCCAACTGTGTGATTAATTTAACATTTGGCTTGCCAGCCTAATATTAACACAGCACTGGGCGTTCAACAGAGTGCCTGGAATGTATGTAGCATTGCATACTTTTAGAGGATATCCTCATCTAAAATTTTAAGTCTCCCCACAGGAAATGCATATACAAGGCTTTCTGCAAAGATAGAGTGCTTTATCTTTGTAAGGACCTACTCCTTGAAATTTAGTATTTATTTTGTTGATCATTTGGCTCAGAAATGTAAATCCATGAGCTGTTTACCTTCTGAACTGGTGACTAAGTGAGACCAATGGAAGAAGGAAGAAGGTCCTATTATTATTCATGTGGAATGATGACAGCCTAAGGAGAATGCTGTGGATGGAACTGAGCAATTTGAATGGCTTTCAGAGTTTAAATAACAGTATTGTGTCATCTGAAGAGGAAAAAAGGGAAAAAGTCACTGATGGAATATTTACTATAGAAGTTATTCCCACTTTATGTCACATTGTGAGCTTAGACGATGTTAGGGGATTGTTTTAATTTTGCATGCATAGTGTGTACTTATTTGTGTCTTGTAAATAAAGCAACGGTTTTAAGTGACTGTGTCCCTTTAAAAATATTTCCATAAAACGTTTGGGAGGTTAGTTTGGTTATCTCCCATTAAAAGGTATTTTATGTTATCTTGCAATTCAGGTAGTTAAGAGACTTCCATTTGCAACTTCCTACGATAGGCCTTAAAATACATGTGTAATTTCTCCAAGGAAATAATTTCTCCTCTGCCTTGTGCATTCATATTCTGTTATGAAAACACCACTGTTTTTGATTAAGGGGCATGTTGTAAATAATGACATTTGGTAAATGGAGAATGGAAGAGCAAATATTTTTTTTATAATTTGCTTTCTTGTATCTGAATTTTTCATAACAGCTAGAATTGAATGAGAAAATCCAGAATGAAGTTGTAGTTGCTACGTGATTTTCCACCCCCCTCCCATATAGTTTCTGTTGAATGAGAGGCAACTTTATATTCTTCTTGGTAAATGGATCTTGTGAACAGACAGAACTCTTAAAGAATCCACATGGTTTATGACATACAGTAAATGGCTGACAAGCTGGTGGAGAGCAGTCTCTCTGAGTGACGTCTCTTTTTCCAGGCTTAACCGCAGCTACTGTCCTCTTCGGTGTAGCCAGGTCTCTGCTGGTCTTCCACGTTCTTGTTCGTTCTTCCCAAACTTTACACAACAAAATGTTTGCGTCCATTCTGAAGGCTCCAGTATTGTTCTTCGACAGAAATCCAATAGGTAAGCCCCACCCCACGTTGCTCGGCAAAATATGTCCTGTTAAGTCATTTTGTATCTGATTACATTTAAGTATTTGAAAACGAGGTCTCGGATGCTTGGGGAAAAATGTCTACACTTGCCGATTCATCCCGTTTTTGTCTCTACCAAAGAAAATGTGGACATATTTTTATTCCAATATTGTATGTATGTGTGTGTGTGTGTGTGTGTGTATAAAAATACGTACTTTGCAGTGACTCTGGAAGCCATTTGCCGTGTGACGTGTGAAGTGGTGAGTGCAGATGCATTTCAGTGTAGTGACTGGCCGCTGGCTGTCCTCGGTGTTAAATGAAATCAGGGCATCTCACTCCATGAGGCTGGCTGTGTGTTTCACTGCCCAGCTGCTCCTGGAACCACAGTGTTCTTGCACATGCCGTAAGGACAAAGGTCCACCTGAAAATGATGAAAATGAGTTAAAACGCATAGTTAGCAGGATGCAATCATCCTCTTCAATGAGCCTTTCTAGGTCTGTATTTTTCATGTCTGCTGTTTGGTTGCATTTTGGAGTCTGTGTCCTACCTGCCAGGTAGGTTTCCTGCAGTCAGTTTCAGGTGATGAGTGTACCGGGTGCTTTCCAGCCTTTGCCCCACACCTTCCTCCTTGCTGGTGCCTGAAGGCAGCCTCCTGGCCGGGCTCCTGTGAAGAGTTGGTTCATCAGACTCCACCCTGTTCCCAAGGGAGCACAGGAGTGACTTTGGCCTGGACACTTACCAGCCGGTTACCAAGGCCATTGCGAGTGGATCTTACTGAGCAGGCAGATCTCCAAGTGGCCTGTTGTGGTGTGGCTTAAAGTACAGATTCTGCAGTCTACTGCCTGGACTGGTCACTGGTAGTGACAACTGGTCCCAGTTGCATCCTGCTTCTGTCTTGTCATTTCATTACTCTGTGCCTTGCTTTTCTTTTCTTTTTTAAAGATTGATTTATTTATGCATACAGAACACAGAACTGGGGTACAGGCCAGAGGTGCCGGGGCAGTGAGAGGATTCACCAGAGACAGAGTGGGGAGCAGAACAGGCAGATCAATGAAGTCCACTGCTGAGGGGAGCAGCGGGCCGGTCAGGAGAGGTCTGCTGTGCCATATGGGTCACCTCCATGGCGGAGATCGAACTCCTGCTGCAGTGGCTTTAGCTTCTTAGAGCTGTGCTTTAACCTGCTGTGCCATCAGGGAGGGCTGCCTTGCTTTTCTTACTCAAAAAAAGGGGTCATGACCCACACCTACTTGTCAGTATACTTCTGGAATTTAGTGGGGAGCTATCCACCGTGCTTAGAATGGGGCTTGGCCTGGGTGAGGGCAGGATGCAGCTGTGTGGGAACTTCCTCACCTGAGAAACCAAACAGTGACTGGACTTCCTGTTTCCCAAGGTCTAGATGGGAATGAAATTTCTTCTGGAAAGCATCTCATGTGGATGGAGTCAGCAGCAGTTGGGTTGTTTAGTTCAGTGAGAGCATGTGGAATGGGAAACTAAGGAGGCTCATGCTGACCTGGTCTTGTTACACGTGGTTGTAAGGTGCTGGGGAACATAAATATTATTTCGGCTCTGAGTTGTTCTGCCCTGCCAGTTGATGTGAAGAGTACAATCATAAAGTTGGGAGCCTTCACTGGGACTGCATTTCTGTTACCCCAGCCTCTGAAATCCTATGTACACAGTTAACCCTGCTCTTCATGTTTAAGACCTGAACCCTTTCCAAATGCTCATTTACATGTATTTTTTTT